TGTTTTCTTTTTTTTTTTTTTTAAGATACTGGAGCCAGGATTCAGACCACAGTCAGCCATGTGGCATCGGACTACAGGGCTGGTCCCCAAAAGTAACCTTTCTAGAAGAATACAAGTGCTAGCAACAGTACTGATAATGAATAAATTGTCTTTATTCTTACAATCCTAAAATAACAGCTGTTGTTCTTTCATACTTTTTTAAAAAAGTTTTTTATTTATCTCTTTCATAAGAGAGAGAGAAAGAAAGACAGTACCCCACCGGGATCCCCACACCACAGTGCAGTCTACCCCCAGCCTCAGCTGGCCTGGATCATGCTCATGCGCACCTCCTCGATTACATCCCTTCTGTGACCTCAATTTGCTCCTTTCCAAAATGAGAGTAATTATACTGCCTTGTAACTACAATAGTTATTTATATAACAGTTTCTAAAAAACAGTTTCCTATATTTTCTATCACTTTCTACTTAAAGTATTAATATTTATTTGCTTTAATAATCTAGAGTTAATTTTGTATATGGTGGGAGGAATAGATCTAAACTTTTTTTTTTTTCCCCAAACCATCTTGGCTCCCAACACCTTCTTTCCAGGAGATTAAACAGCTGTTTAGAGTGGAGAGCTTCCTTCTCTACATTTTTACTTCAGTGTTGTTGGTCCTGTGGCCTAGTGGTTAAGGGAGTCACATCCCACAGAGCTGGTCTTGATTTGGGTCCTGGCCCCAGTGGCTTGATAAACACATGTGTGTGCACATGGCCTAAATCCCAGCAGGGTGGGGAGGGTGCTTTCTCCCTTTCCCTTTCTCTCTTTTTCTGTTTCCAGAGAGTACATGTGCCCACTGCCAGTTTAAATAAATAAATACCTACTGTATGCCTGGCATCTCTCCTGTTGTCTGACCTCACGCCAGCCCTGCCAGGCATGTGCTATTATTCCTACAGTCCGGATGGAGAAACTCAAAGAGGTCGTTGACTTGCTCAAGCTGATGATAGCTGGGGACAAGCCTAGAAGCCAGGCTGCATGAGCTACAAGTCCCTTATTCTGCCCTGCAAGCCACACTTCCTCCACTCTCAGCACGATAGCACCTCGGGGCTCGTAGCCTGAGAGTGTGCACGGTAACCAGAAGCACCCTGGCATGGAGCTTAGTAGGGCCACAGTGAGACTGAGCAAAGCTGTGTCATGTCCAGAAAGGCTGATAATGAAGATAAGGGGGTTGGAGATGGATGAGAGAGGGGACTCTGTTTCTGAGGTGGTGCAGTTTGAGCTCCTAGAAGTGGTGTGTGCCCCTGGGAAGGGCGAGCACAGAAGGATGAAAGGACACATAGGCAGACACCTGGAGTCTGGGTGTCATGGGGGTGCTCCCACCTCCCAAAGAGAGCTCCTCCTCATTCATCTTCTGTATTTTCAGGTCAGAGCCGAAATCCTCACGACCTTTGCTCTCTGTGGGTTTGCCAACCTCAGCTCCATTGGGATCATGCTGGGAGGCCTGAGTGAGTCCTCCAGGGGCCTCCCCACCATCCTGGCGAGTCAGGGATCAGCACGTGGGTGTCAGTTACCCCCTTTATCTAAAGCAAAGTTGAACAATATGGCCTGCAGGTCCTTCCCCGCCCAGAATGCCATGCTGCTCTGTGGCCGGGAGTGGCCATGGGGTTCTACCTTGGGGAGGGATGGGAGGATCAGCGCTGTCTCGTCCCTGAAGCTAGGCCCGCCTGTTTCCCTCACAACAAACAGGCAGGCTTGGTGGGGCCTAGGGAGTCAGGGTCTACCATTCTCAACCTCCTACAAATGACATTTCCGCCCCTCGTAGCCACCCCACCTGGGCATATAATCAACCATTTTACAGAGAAGGAAACCGAGTCTGAAGTAATAGCCCAAGTCACTCAGCTGGGAAGTAGCTGAGCCTGTATTTGGCCCCAGGTCTGCCTGATTCCAAACTCAGGTCCTCTTCCTGCATCTGCCAGTCACGGTGCATGGGGAGGCATGAGGCACACCCTGGGGCCCAGCCAGGCCGCAGAGGACTCTCAAGCTCAGAACGCTGTCATGAAGACAACGTCTGTCCCTCTTGCTGCCCAGAGAAGGAGCCAGGGCTGTCACCATGGCAGCAACGAAGGCCAGAATGGCCACCTGAGCACTCCTGTCCCTTTGCAGCCTCCATGGTTCCTGAGCGCAAGGGCGACTTCTCCCAGGTCGTGCTCCGGGCACTCTTCACGGGAGCCTGTGTGTCCCTGGTGAATGCCTGTGTGGCAGGTGAGTGCAGCCTGGTGGCTCCGTACGTGGCACTTGACTTTCCAGCTGGCCCAGGTCGAGGGCTGAGCACTGGGCGTCTGCCCACCCGCTGCTCCCCCCACAGGGATCCTCTATGTGCCCAGGGAAGCCGTGGCCGACTGCACGTCCCTCCTGAACACGAGCCTCAGTAGCAGTAGCTTTGAGGTGTACCAGTGCTGCCGTGAGGCCTTCCAGAGGTGAGGGCCTGGGCCTCTGGGGCACCGACAGAGACAGCATACAAAAGGCCAGGGTGCCAGGGCGGGGTGGGAGCGCATTTGGCACCAGGCTGAGGGGCAGAAACGGCATGGCTGTGGCTGATGTGATCAGCGGAGGAGGAAGTGGAGGCTTGGGGACCAGATCTGGGAGGAAGTGTGGACCAGAGACATGGAGCAGATTCCCCAGGGCTGCACCGCCTGACCGCTAAGGCTGCCACCTCTGCTTGCTTTTTAGCACCAGCCTGGAATTCAGCCCAGAAGCCCTGGACAGCTGCTGTCGATTTTACAACCACACGATCTGTGCATAGTTGATTTTGGGGTGGTGCTTCTTCCCCAGGAAGCATCTGTCCACACCTTCCCTTGCCAGGCCCCCTTCTCCTAGAGTCCCTAGTAAACTCACCTCAATCCTGCCACTGGGAAGGCGTGGAGGGGCAAGTATGGCTGGGCATTAGTAAATGGAGGATGCCGCCCACCTTAAGCCCCTGCTCCTCACCCCCGTTTCCTGCCTCTACAAATACGAGCTCTCAGAGCCACTTCTGTCTCCACCTCTCTCTCTGGTGCATCCACACAGTGCTCTGGTCCCCTCTTCCCCGCCCCTCTGGGTCTCTCACGTGCACTCTTTCATCTGTCACGGGCCCCACATCCAAAACCTCCTCCCTTCTTTTCTTCCTGGGTGTTAGCATCTCTCCGTGGCTTCCCTGCCCAGTGCCCCCTAGAAACCTTTTCTCTGCTTTCAGAGACTCTTCCACTGCCTTCCCCTTGGAGCTTCCCAAACTGGTGTCCCGTGGAGCACTATCCCATGAGGTGTTCAGGGGGTTCCATGATCCATTAGCTTTGGAAAACTCTGGGCAGAATAAAATTAGACAGGGTTGGGGAGTGGCAGGTGGCATGGTGGTTGAGAGTGCTAAACTCCCACAAGCCGACTGCGGTTCAAATC